TTGCTACGGACAATCTGAAAGTGGCTGTGGTTAACCATGTTTTTGGCATATTATTTGTATGAACACATCTGACCCAACTTAATGACTTGAAACACCTCTGACCTATTATATCTATAACCTTTGTGTATGGACAATTTTTGGATAAAGTGAGCGTGGTCGACCTCTATTCTCGTGCAGCAACGGGCATATATATATATATACACATGTATATCTACCGTACACGGTATATATATATATATATATGTGTGTATATAATATACAACCTTTTTGGCAGAACTGAGGGGCTGAGGTCCGAAGCAAGGTCTACCTTTTAGAAAGCGATGGTGTGATGTGCAATGTGGCGTTTTCATGTGTGGCAATGCCATGGGGAGATGTGGTTGCAGTTGAGCTCTGATCTGGGGTGTTTGTCCTGTGTCATGTCTAGAGCCGAAGTGCGTCGATTGCGATGTTGCATCATGGAAATTTTGGATGTGCTGTGGCAAAGTAATCTGGTGGATTGGAGTGTGTTGAAGTGTGATGTGGTCATTGAGTGTGGTGATTTGTGGTGAGATCGTAGCATTGAACTGCTTGCCGTTGATATAGAACTGTCTCCTGATTCACTGATCTATTTGTGAGCCCACCCCTGCCCAAGCCGATTTCATTTTGTGGACAGCTTGGAGAACAAAGGATGAATGCTGAGAGAAAGAACCGCACAAGAGAACGATAACCAACACACGAGCTGCGCAATCCACCGAGTCATGTGTTTCCCCTCCAACCTTCTTTCGACAACTGTGTAGACAATGATTAGAGGCCTGTTGGCCTGCTCACAAAAACACCAAGCATAAGGCTAGTGAGCTTGATCTCTCACCAATGGTAGTGCCCCACCATGCTTCTTCCATGGATCGGTTGAAAGGGTTCCTGCATTAATAAAAGATGGTCATTGCAGTTGATTATGTTGATTGAGGTTGCAGACTTTGGTGAGAAGCGTGGAGAAGAGTAGGTACGAAGGCAGAGCTTCGCAGACAACTTGATCTTCAAGATTCGGCCATTTATGTCAATTTCTGAATTTATTTAATAGATGTTGCCCTTATGAAGCACTCCTTCCACTGAAGACACATGCACTGCCAGTAAGTGATGCTGGTGTAGCCTCTGAGTACCTCCTTCATTGTTGATTCACTTGTTCTTTTGTCCGCATTTCGGCACCCAAATGCTATGATTTTGCAGCCTTTTGGCTCCGGCACGCTTCCGCGCGGCCGATTTTTTCGATTAGACAAGCTTGTCATAATTTTAAGACATGCCTGCCATGTCCAAGATCTCCACTGCTGCCGGCGCAGGCGCCGCCTTGATGGCGGCCTCTGCCTTCGTAGCACCTGCAGGCGCACCCAGACAAGCTCTGAGGGGCACCTCCAGTGTGGAGCAGAGGTCCACAGGAACCCTGGGCGCGGTTGGGGCTGTGGGCGTCGCTGGCCTCGTAGCCATGTCTGTGGCCCGGCCCAGCACCAGAGCTGCAGTGGTGCGTTGTGCCTACGATGCCTCCAACGAGATCGGGGCCTGTGACCCACTTCTGTTCTGGGATCCTATTGGCTACTGTGGCGGCGACTGCACCAAAGAGGATTTCGACCGCCGACGGGCTGTAGAGTTGAAGCATGGCAGGATTTGCATGTTCGCGACCATCGGCATGCTTTGGCCTGATGCTGGGACAGGATCATAACCTTTTCATTGTCGTTTGTTTTAGTTCCCTCATTTAAGAAATGGATCAAGATTGCCAAGGGCGGCTTTTGGTAGTGTTTGGTAACTATGCATGCCCCTCAAACTGCAAATCCCAAGTCCGGTCATTCCCACATCACCCAATCGAAGGACATCTTCGGCAAGTTTGATGGTTACCTGTCACCTTCTCAGAACTTAAAGTTCGCAGATGTGCCCTCAGGCCTTGCAGCCATCAGCAAGGTCCCCCTGGAGGGGTGGCTGCAGGTGCTCCTGGTGGCTGGGCTCATCGAGACTCAACTCTTTAAGGATCAGTCCTTTGGTGGCTTTGCCTATGCCAAGTATGGTGAGCCTGGCAACTTCGGCACCGGCTACTGGGGTCGAAAGATCCAGGACCCAGCAGAGCGCCGTTTGAAGCTCACCACAGAGCTGAACAATGGACGCTTGGCGATGGTCGCCATGACAGCGATGCTTATCCAGAACGGTCTCACTGGACAGTCACCTGTGGAGCAGCTGACCTCTGGGCACATCTCGCCCTTCAATGATGGCCAGGGCTTCTTTGCACAGTTCGACGCGTCCAAGGAGCTGGGAGCTTGCCCTCCTTTGGGCTATTGGGATCCCTTCGGCATGATGGCTTTCCAGGATGAGGAGAAGTTCCGCCGCAACCGTGAGCTGGAGCTCAAGCA